TTTCAGAAGTCACTCCATCTTCCGCCTTAACCCCTCTAACCACCAGAAGTCACTCCATCTTCCGCCTTAACCCCTCTGACCACCAGAAGTCACTCCGTCTTCTGCCTTAACCTTTCTGACCGCCAACTCTGCTATGGCCACAGTGAACTTTGCAACATGTGCATCTGCTCAGCATCATCCATGGGACCTCACGCTCCTGGGTCAAGTCTGGGCCATGTGTGAGGCGCCCTGATCCCTTCCCTCCTATCTGCTCTCATGTTCTCTTCCCTCCCACCCCCAACTTTCCATTCCTCCTTCACTGAACACTTGTACCCGCTGAACACAGCAGGGCTCTCACAATAGCGTGTCCACTTGCTGGTCCTCAGCTGTGATGCTCTTCCTCGCCTGGCTACCCAGCAAACTCCTGTCATAGCTCAGACCCTGCCTCCTCCAAGAAGCCTCGCCCTACTTCCCCAGGCAGATGCTGGAGCTCCTTCTGCAGGCCTCCCTCTGTACGTGGTCCATCCCCCATTACAACACATATCAACAGCATGGCATGGTTCACCTGCCCACCAGCCAGTCGCTCCTCTCCACCCCGAGCGCCTGCAAGGCTGCAACCTCCTTTGATCCTTTCTGCAGCCCCAGTGCCTGGCCCCTGATCTGGCACACAGTAGCAGTCAGCAAACAGGGGTGGATGAAATCAACGACGGCAAACTCGTAGTAGTGTCACAGATAGAGAGAGGCTTGGGGAGAGTTCTGAACCAGCCCCGGAACAGCCCCCGTGCTGATAATTTAGACGGACTTCATGGGTAGAAGCACCGTTCAAATTCTGCTTCTACACCTACTGGCTGTGTGCTCTTTGTGCTCAGAGCTTGTTTCCTTCCCTTAAAATGGGAACAAGGACAGAACCTATCTCAGTGTTGTTGCAAGGGGCATGTTAGATGCTTAGCATAATGTCTGGCACATCAGCTCTCGTTAAAAGCGACCTGTTGCCCTTATCACTGCTGTTGTCATCACCACCATCACCACCACCAGAGGTATCCATCCTCGCCTCCTGACCCTCCCATCCCCCCTAGCGCTGTTCTCCACTATTTCCTCCCTTCTCATCTTGCAGTCCCTGCTTGACCCACTGCGGTTGGCCTCCACCCCCTCTAGTGCCGGGAACTTTCCGGGCTGAGGTCACCAGGGACCTCTTCCTTGCATAACTCTTTCTTCCCTTGACCTCTCAATGGCATGTGACCCTGGCATCACTTCCTCCTTAAATGTGCCTCTCTGACTTCCATGACGTGAACTCTCCTGCTTTTCTGGACAGCCTTCTGGGTCTCTCCAGTTGAGACTCTCTGCTGATCCAGACCCAAACAATCGACTGCCTACTGAGCATCACCACCCCATGTGTCACAGTCACTGGACATCGGCATGTCTAAAGGAGTTCCTCACCAGCTCCGCACCCCCATCCCTACTCCTGGGTTCTACTGGTGAGTTGACAGCCACATCCCCTCCACCAAATCCCCCCAAGGCTGCAGCTCTGGGAGTCATCCCATCAGTCTTGCCTTGCCAAACAGTCTGAGTCCTGGTTTTAAGACTCTCATACCTGGCCCTCCTCTCATTCCCTCTGCTTCTGCCAGAGTCAAACCCTCATCTCTCATCTGGACCCATACAAGTCTCCTACCACTCACTATTCAAGTGTTCTCTTTGGACCAGCAACACAGCATCACCTGGGAACAGGTTAAAAATGCTGGATCTCAGACTGCCACCCCAGACCCACTGAATCAGAATCTGCATTTTAACAAGACCTCCAGGGGATTCACACACACTTTAAAGGTTGAGAATTGCTGTCCTAATGAATTTCCCAACCTCTAGCCTCCCCTCTACCCTAACCAATCCCACACTTGACAACCGATGTGCAGATTTGACCATGTACTCCTTACTTAAAAGCCCCTAGTGTATCCCCACTGCTCTCACGACTAATTCCAAATTCCTCAGCAAAATATGCAAGGTCTCCTTAATCTGGTTTTTGCCTTAAGGCCACTCCTCTAACCCCCCTCCTGCTCTCCTACCACACGTGCAACCATGCAGTTGCCACATGCACAACTTCAATACACATTTTGCTGTTTCCTACCTTTGTGCCCTTGAACACGCTGTTCCCCCTGCCTGGAATGCTCTTCTGCCCCTTATCTGCCTGCAAACCCTCCTTCACCCACTTGGTCCCAGCTCAGGCCTTCCCCGACTCCATAAACACAGTTCCTTCCTGCCTGCCTGTGTCAGCACTGTTCTCAGCACGATCACAGCCCTTATTTCTTTATATGTCCGTCACTCCCACCATCCCGGTGCTGTGTATCTCCTAAGGCCTACCCAGAGGACTCAATGAGGTGTTCGCTGAAAAACTGAATAATACAACTTTCTCAACTTCTGTCCTGAAGGCAACCATAACAGGAGGAATGAAGATTAGACTTCAGGAGGAACCGGGGGAAAAGAGGAACCCAGCAGGGCAAATGTGCTATTCATCTGTCATCTCTTAGCCTGGAAACTTCCCCAGGAGCAGAGTCATCAATCACAAAATGTTAACTCCAAGGGGATTTTCAAGGTCCAGTCACCCAGCCAAATGCCAGAGTAGGCAACTGCTTTACCCAAGGTCGCACAGCTGGATAGGGGTGGGGCTGGGACTAGACTCCAGGTAGCTCTGGAAAAAGTTTGTGCAGGTGGCTACCTCATCTCATGAACCTCTTCCCTTCCTACCCATCTTAACTCCCTAAAGGAAGTCCCTTATGCCCTCACATGGTCAAAGGGACTACCTGGGCTCACTCATAGCTCTTAAAGCACCTGCCAGGACCTTGATTGGCTGGAGTTGCCAAAGCCCTGAAGATTGGAGGAGGGGGATCCAATTATTCCCATTTCACAGATTGGCAAACTGAGACAGCAAGAGTCTGGGTCACACTGCTAGCTAATGGCAGAGGCAGGATTTGACACTAAGTACTGTGCTCTCCCTGTACAAAGATGTGAAAAGCCAAACCTCCCACCGGAGCAGAGTCACTATTTACAATAATCACCACGACTGGCCCCCTAATGCCTGGGAAATCCCCTCCTCCCACCAGTTCCTCTTTAAATCGAGCCTCTATCCCTCTTGCACAGGATGTCTGACTTAGGAAAGAACCCTACACTCACCCTGGCACCCCCACCAGGTTACTGGGGAGAGCACGGCACAGTCATAACCTTTGACGGGGAAATCACCCTCCGCTGTGCCGGCACCTGACAGTGTCACTGCTCTCATCAACTCTGAGACTGGTACTACCAATCACATTCTGAGATGGGGAAATGGAGGGTCCCAGATAAAGCATTCCTAACCCACAGTCAAAGCCAGTAAGCGGCTAGGCTGGGTCTCGAACCCATGTCTTCCTGACTCTAGCGCCCTCTCTTTCTGTTTGTCCACGCCAGGCTCTCCTACCCGGCAGGTAAACCACCTGAAGCTTCGGACCGGCTGGGTCACCTCGGGAAAGTAACTTAACCTCTCTGAACGCCCCCAAGGTCAGAAAGCTTTGCTTTCGGGGGAGAAAGCGGTATGCAAACAAGACGCATACGAAACACACACCCGCGGGCGCCGGCGCAGTCCTTTCCCGGAGCCTGGGGCTTTCTAACGGGGAACGCGCGCCCCCAGCCCCCGAGACCGGCGAAACCAAGCGCCGAGCCGGCTAGCAGAAGCGAAACCTCAACACTCTTCAGCCTCCCCCGCTCGGTTCCGGGAACCGGCGAGCCAGGCTTCGTGGAAGCGCGCCCGGCAGCCGCGGGCCTCGGGACCGCCCCGACCACAGCCCGCAGTCCCGGGCCGGGAGGTGCGGGGGCAGGCGCGGTCGGGCCCGAGCAGCTGCGCCACGCGCGCTTCCGCCCCGCTCGGCTCCGGCGGCGGCCGCGGCGGCCCCACAATCCCCTTCTGGCTCCGGGGACGGGCGGGGCGGGGCGGGGCGGGGCGGGGCGGGGCGGGCCGAGCGGGCGGAAATAATTTTCTGTTTGGTCCTCTCTGCCCCAGTCCCTTAGGCGCGGGACGCGTGAGACGGGCGAGGATGCCGGAGGCGGGAAGCGAGAGCGGGAATGCCCAGCCCTGGCAAGCTGAGAGGGGCGGAGAGAGGACCAGCAGAGATTGAGCGCCTACTGTGTGCCTTAGCGCTTGACAACAGGACTTTCGTTAGATCTTCACTACAGCCCTTGCCAGAGGGAGTTAATGCCCCATTTAAGAGGGATAAACTGAGCCTCTGAGAGGTGAAGTCACTCGCCGAAAACTGCACAGCCAGGCTCAGCGTGACACCCCAAATCAGGGCTCAGTTACGCCAAGAAGAACACGATGAGCTTGAACCACTGGTTTGCCGAGTCCTGTTCTTGCTCTTTTTGTGTAGACAGACACATAGTAGGTGCTCAGGAAGATATTGGAAGATGGAAAATGAGCTTGACAGCTCAGCCCCGGAGTACGCGCCGCGAATCCAGCCCAGCCCGCGGGGCACCGGGTTTCCCCAGACCTCAGAAGGGAACTTTTGCGATGGGCGGACATCTCAGTTCGACACAGGCATTCGACAAACACGTGGTGGCGGAGCCCCAGCCCTAGCGGAGGACAGACCGGATTCAAATCCCAGCTCTGCCGCTATCAGGCTGTGTGACTTTGGGCAAGTCACGTCATCTGCCGAACCTCGGTTGTACCGCCTACAAAATGGGGATATTAACATCCACTTCCAAAGGGTTGTGGGGAGGATTAAACGAAACAATGTTTCTAACACACTTACTACACGCACAAGTATCGTCGCGCGTTCATCCCGCAACCTTCAGGCGGTGCACCCGTTCGGGATGAGGACCCGAGACTAAGGCTCCTCGGCCCCAGTTCCCAAGTCGCCCACCCCTGGACGCACGGACCGACGGGCCTTCCAGTCACCCTCGTCCGGCGAAACCCGAAATTTCGGGCACTTCGGCCGCGGTTGGTCCCGAAAACAAATATTCAAATATTCCGAAACTGGCGCATGGCTAGGGCTGACATTTTTGCGTTTAATTTTCTTGAAGTTTTATTCTTGTCTGTAAAGGTAATTCGTTAGACCCTCCTAAGTGAGACTTCTCGTCTTTGTCTTGTTTAACTTTTCGTAAGAGCGAAGTTCACAAAGCAGACCAAGAATCCGGGCGCGTGGCGGTCCTTGCGGGGATCCGGGTCCGCAGACCGGCCCCCGGCGAACCCCTGGCTGTCGGCGCCCTCGCCCGGGCACGGCAGTGGCAGAGACAGGCCGCCCCCGACCCCGGCCCGTTTAGATGGAGCCTCTTCGTCCTGACAGCCCTCTGGGATTCCCGTGTCCCTGCAGGAACGAGGGGAGGTGGGGGCTGCAGCCCAGAATTTAGCATCCCCGACCTCCCCAAACTCCAGCCTCGCTGGGATTAAGGGAGCAAATCCCTGATGCCACAGACCAGGTCAAGGACAAGTTCTCCCCCGCCCTATTCCCCCCTCCTGGGCGGGGATTCACCCCCCCTTCCGGGATGAAAGGTACTAAATAGACGCGAGGGGAGGGGTGGCGGCGGGCTCCGGCCCTTGATGTTCCGGTTGAACAGGTGCTGGTGAAAAGGAGGCGGTCCCGACGGAAGAGTCGGCCAGGGGGGCATTGCGCCGAAGGAGGGGCAGCCTCCTCCACCCTCAGTCCCCCCGCGGATCTTCCCCTCTCCTCTCAGCCTGCCCCTCCCCCGCAGGAAGCGTTCCCGGCCGTAAGGTCTTTGAAGTGTCGCTGAAGCCCCCAGGGCTGCTTTCTCCCCTCCGCCACCCCACCACCCGCTGAGAGAGTGTGACCTTTGGTCCCTGCGGGCGTCCACCCCCCTTTAGGAAGTAGGAGGGTCAGATTTCGTCCCTCTTACACGCACCGGTCTTGGGGATGAAGCCTTCGGGCTGACGCCCCCTCACTTCTTCTCCAGACCCAATTTCAGGGAATTTAATCTTTTGGGGCGCTGTGTGTGAGTTTGTGTCGTGTGTTTGTGTGTGTGCATAGAGGTCAAGTGTAACCGTGTTGTTCGTGAGCACTTCCGTAGTCGTGGGTCTCTAACTCGCGGGAGTCTCTAAGCGCGCCTGTGGGGCTGGACCTGGGGTTTGTGTCACTCTGGGAGGGTAAGGTGGTGTGGATGGATGAGGCTAGGAGTGAGTCTGTGTGTCTGTGAACGCCTCCGTGTGCCTCTGAGGGTTCTGAGTCCCTGTGCGCGCTTGCGTGTGTCTGTGAGCTGGACCGGAAGCTCCCCGAGGGCAGGAATACCTGTTGTGTTCATTGCTCTAGCCCAGCGGCTGTACGTAGTCAGCATTCAACAAATGTTTGTTGAATGAACAAATGTGCGTATGTGTACCCGTCAGAGGGGCCTCCGAGGAAAGAGCCCACGAGGGGCCATCCCAATAGCCCCCCGGACACGGAGGGGCGAGCGGCCCGCGTCGCTCCTGCTCCTTCTAGCGCCCCTTCCATGGTCTCCATCTCCGAGTTTCTATGGGGTTGAGGAACAGACGCAGAGACGAAGACCTGGGCGGAGGGGGCTGGAGGGAGAATCGGAGACCCGGGACCGAGACGGAAGGGCAGGCAGAGGAAGGGCTCAGGAGCGCCAACCCACAGCCATAGAAAGAAAAAGAAAGGGAAAATCAGCGCGGAGCGAGCGAGCGAAAAGCTCCCTACCAAGCCAGGCTTTTGTTCCCTGAACCTAAGACTTTACCCGGCGGCGGGCGGCGGGCGGGCCGGGAGCGAGCGAGCGGAGGCGCGCGGCCATGGCGGCCGCGGCCGGGCAGGGAGGCCGGGGGGGCGGCGCGTGAGCGGGCGGCGCGGGGCGGCGCGGGCGGGGGGGCGCCCGCGATGTGCCACTCGGCGCCTCCCCCGCCGGGCCCGGGCTGTGCGGCGGCCGGGCGGCCCTAGCAGCGGGGCGCGCGGCACGGAGGGGGCGAGCCCAGCGCGCGGGTCTTATTGTTGGGGGGGGCCCGTCGGGGCATGAGGGCGAGAGCACGGCGGGGGGGGCGGCCAGACAGAGCGAGCGAGGAGGAGGAGGAGGAGGACGCCGAGGAGGAGGAAGGAGGAGGCAAAGAAAAGAAGCGGCGGCGGCGGCGGAGGCGGAGGAGGAGGGAGCGAGGAGGCGCGCGGCCCCCCGCTCCCTCCCTCCCCCCTGCCCCCCGCCCCCCGCCGGCCGGCCCCCCGCCCCAGCCCCGGAGGGAGCTCATGGGAGTATGAAGGAGATGGTAGGAGGCTGCTGCGTATGTTCGGACGAGAGGGGCTGGGCCGAGAACCCGCTGGTCTACTGTGATGGGCACGCGTGCAGCGTGGCTGTCCACCAAGGTACGGGGGTGGCCCGCGGGGGGCGACGGGACCCCGGGGGCGGGGCGCGCAGGGCGCCCCCGGCCGCGCCCTCCAGAGACCTCCCGGGGCTCGGGCGCCCCTCCCCCACCCCACCTGAAGGGAAGGGAGGCGTCGGGGGGCTCCCCCCGCCCGGTCCTGGAGGACCGGGTCAGGCATTGTTTTCTTGCCTATTGTTCCAGTCCCGCGCCCCCCACCCCAAGTTGAGGGAGTTTGGGGACAGTCTAGGGGGCAGTGAGTGCACTCTCCGCGCCCCACACTGCCAGTGTCGGGGCTGCCGGGTGAATGTTTACCTGCGAGGTGTCCCCTCCCGCCGGTTATTTTGGTCCCGGCTACAAGAGGGAGAGGTCAAGGGGGGGTCATCCCCCCTCCCGCTTCCGGATACTGGGAGGAGCGGAATTGGGAAGGGAGGAGAAGGGTCCCACGGGAGAGGGGACTCCTGGAATCCTCCGGGGAAGAGCTGCGGATAGGAGAGCGGTTGTGCAGGGGGCCGGGAATCGAGAAGAGGGAGGTTTGGAGTTTCCCCCAGCAGCACATGGTTCGGGAGTTAACTCCTTGAGGAATCTTGCCGAGGGCGCAGGCTGGCATCTCCCGCCTGTCTGGCACAGCCAGCTGGGCACCCCCCTTCCTGGGACAGCCCTTACTGCTGTCGCTGTCGGCTCTTCCTGCCACTCTTGTCTCGGTTACCTGCACTGCACCTGCCCTCGGCCTTGACTTTTGACCTATACTTTTCATAGTTAGAGGCAGAAGATGAGGTCCCTGGACCACCGACTTCCCCGCCTCTTCTCTTACTGGCCCTTTAAGAAATGCCCCCCCCCCCCATAACAACAAAACGTGTTTGACTATCTTAAATGTTGTCCCTTTGGTTTTCTCTATTCCTGGTGATGAGAACTGGTCCCAGGCAGGAGATGGGAAACAGGTCCAGAAAGGGCGTGGGGGGGAGGATCTTCTAGAAGTTTAAGGTCAAGGACTCAGACTTCCCACCTCTGCTTGGAGTGCTTGGTTGTGTGGTTGAAGGCTGGCTGCGTGCTTTTGGGTGTTCCTTGTGGTCCTGCCGTCTATTGAGTGACCTCCAGACAGGAGAGTAGCCCCCTCCCCAAAGTGGCTCTAGTCCTTTAGACTCACCCCCTACGCACAGTTACTCTGAGAAAAGCCACTGCTGACAGATTTGCTCCGTGATTCTCCTCCCCCACCCCCAGCTTGCTATGGCATCGTCCAGGTGCCAACAGGACCCTGGTTCTGCAGGAAATGTGAATCTCAGGAGCGAGCAGCCAGGGTGGTGAGTCCCCCTCCCGTACACCTGAGCATCTCCTCCCGGATGAGCTAGGGGACTCTGAGGCTGAGGCGAGGGTGGGCCTGTCACACAGGACTTCCTGTTTCCTGCACACCTATCACCAGCCCCATCTCTCCCTCAGCTCCTCCCTCACTCTGCCCCACCTCGGCATGGGGCCTTTTATTTTTGTTTGCTTGTTTGTTTGCACTTTTTATTAGGGAAAGTTTCCAACCTGTACAAAAGTAGAGGCAATACCGTAATGAACCTCGTGTCCCCATCACCCATCTTCAACAATTATCACTCATGGCCAATCCTGTTTCCTCTAGACCCCCTCCCATCACCTATACATCTTTTTTTTTTTTCAGTTGAGGTAACATTGGTTTATAACATTACATCAATTTCAGGTGTATATCATTGTATTTTAACTCCTGTATAGACTATATCATGTTTACCACCGGAAGTCTAGTTTCTATCTGTCACTGTACAGATGTCCCCCTTTACCCCCCCCCTTCCTCTCTGGTCACCACCACTGTATTCTCTGTATCTGTGTGTTCCCCAGAGACATCTTATCGTTTCATCCTGGGGCCCTTTGAATGTGTTCAGGGAGGGCCCAGTTCAGCAGATCCCCCACCCCCTTTTGGAAAGCCCCTCCCAAATCCCTGTGCCCCCTTGCATTGGCAGAGGTGTGAGCTGTGCCCACACAAAGACGGGGCATTGAAGAGGACTGACAATGGAGGTGAGGGGGGCCCTGAGCCCAGGGCTTATCTGTTGAGGTCAGCAAGGCCCCCCGAGCAGGGCCTGGGAAGGCAGGAGTGGACTGGGGTAGGGCGGGAGTGGAGGCTGGGTTTCCCTTCCCTGGTTGGCACTGGAATCTGATGGGAAGGCCATGGAGGAGGGTCTGCAGTGTGGGGATGTGAGGGGTCGGGGTCTCAGGCTCGCCATCACAGCTGAGGCGGGCCCCACACCGCCCCAGGCTGGGCCCACGTGGTGTGTGCCCTCTACATCCCCGAGGTGCAGTTTGCCAACGTGCTCACCATGGAGCCCATCGTGCTGCAGTACGTGCCTCATGATCGCTTCAACAAGGTCAGCGGCCCCTGCCGTGCCCCGTACCAGTCCCCTCCCCGGCCAACCATGCCCGGGTCCCTCCAGCTCTCTCTTCGTCACGTGTAATTTGATTCTGTCCAACCGACATTTTCAGGGAACTCAGGAGGTGGGTGGGCAGCTTCCACTGATGGACACCTGCTCATGTTCTGGAACTCAAATGAATAGTAGGCTCCCTCGCAGTGGTACTGCCAGAGGGTGGACGTTAACAAGCAGTTCACTCCTTCGTCCACTGCACACATTTTACTGAGTGCCCACTATGTGCCAAACCTGGGGCAAGGCACACAGTGTTCAGTATTAATCAAGACATGTGCTCCCTGCCTCATTGAACTCACACTCTCCTGTGGGAAGACCGTAAATATCAATAAACAGGCAAATAAAGTAAATGCATTTTGTGGCAAGTGCTATGAAGAAAACAAACAGGGTACTGAAATAAAGACTACCTCGTGGGGGGCTTACTTTAGATAAAATGGTCCAAGAAAGACACATTTAGGTTGAGACCTGGGGATGAGAAGGAGCCAGCCTTGAGGAGGATGGGGTTCCAAGTTCCAGGCAGAAGGAACAGCATGTGCAAAGGCCCAGAGGTGGGAAAAAGCTCACCAGCAAGGCAGACACAATCCATGGCCTTACAGAGCTCCCCATACAAGGATTTCACTATCCAATATAGTAGCCACCGGCCACATATATGTTATATATTATTAAATATTATACATACAAATTATATAGACTAAAATTAAACACAATTTAAAATTCACTTCCTCAGTCACACCAGCCACACTTCAAGTGTTCAATAGCCTGTGTGGTTCATGGCTACTGTCTTAGAAAGTGCAGTATAGAACATTTCCATCATCACAGAAGGTTCTGTTGGATAGCGCCGACTAGATCAGGGGGAGAGGATGGAATTGAGGGGGAGGCCAAAGGATCCCTCAGATAGGAGGAAGGGACGACCCCACTGTGTCCTACAGACTTGTTACATCTGTGAGGAGCAGGGCCGGGAGAGCAAGGCAGCCTCAGGAGCCTGCATGACCTGTAACCGCCACGGATGTCGACAAGCTTTCCATGTCACCTGGTGAGACCCCTGCCTACCCTGCCCCACCCCCAGGGTTCTCGGGGATCCTGGCCGAGTGTACCAACCCCTCTGAGGTTTGCTATGGATGGCGGCTACATGGGCTCATCCTGATTGCTGTCTCTGTGGTGATGACGGCAGTGCTTTTCTTGGATGATCTTGGCTTTGCCTCAGTAGGGGTCTAGGAGGGTGGGAGGGAGGTAGCTGGGCTGCTCTGGGGCCATGCCCTTCTTAGGCTGACCTCTCTCGGTTAGCGCCCAAATGGCAGGCCTGCTGTGTGAGGAAGAAGTGCTGGAGGTCGACAACGTCAAGTACTGTGGCTACTGCAAATACCACTTCAGCAAGATGGTGAGTCTCGTCTGCTAGGTGTGAGCGGGTCAGCAGCCCTGGTTCAGAGGGCGTGGGCTTCAGGCCAGGTTGGTGCCTGGTGCTAGGAGGACAGAGATGGCAGGAACCCAGTCCCTGCCCTTGAGGAGCTCACCATTCGATGAGGAGTAAATTAAAGTACAGCTGAGGGATATGAATCAGAGCTGAACCACGCAGTCCATCCCAGAAGACAGCTCAGCCCCAGCCTGTCAGAGTCTGGGAGGCTTCAAGGAAAAGGAAGCAGTTAAGCTGAGTGGAGGTGGAAACAATAAGAGCCAACATTCGCGGAGGTTGCTGTGCCCCGGCCTCTGTACTAATCTCTTTACATGTTATTCTGTATAATCCTCCCAACAACCCTAAGCACTAGGTATACTGTATTTCCCATTGTACAGATGAGTAAACTGAGACCCACTGAAGTTATATATCTTATCTCACCGCTGGCAGATGGGATTCAGAACAGGAAGTCTGATTTGAAAGCTCCTCAGGAGCCTACTCAGCAATAACAGGGAGAAAGGAATCAGAGGCCGAGAGAGTGGCGTGGGCAGTCCTGAGATGAGAGGGAATTTGTGAGCAGAACAGGGAGTTTGGGGCAGACGAGGCAGGACATGAGGTGAAAAAGCTCAGGCAGCGCCAGAGCTGGACTTGCTTCTGCCCCAGGCTTCAGGGGCCCAAGGAGAGGCTGGAGAAGCGGTGCTCTCCCGGGTTTGTGGAGAGACCTGCATGTCCTAGAAGCTGTGGGCCATCCTGGTGAGGCAGGCTGTGGTCTGACTGGGAGAGCAGCTTGGATCTCACCCCCAGGCCCCAGGCTCGTAAGGCTGCTTGTCAGCAGGAGGGTAACATGATCAGATTTGTTTTTTAGGAAGATTACTCTGGCAGCCACTATGAAGCTGGATCTGAAGGACCAAGGTTGGCGGTTGGGAGACAGCTGCGAGGGCGGGTGGGGGGTGGAGGGATGAGGCTGGACTCTAGCACCGTTTCTGGCTCTACTTGCCTGCATGGAGTGGTGGCCGAGAAGGAGGAGTTGAGGGTGATATGTCGATCTAGGTTCTCGCCGCTGGAGCACCTGAGAGTGCTGGGAATGGGGAGTGCAGTGGGCTTCTGTAGGGTTGGCCTATGTCCTGGTCTGCCCAAGACAGTCCCAGTCTGTGCCAGTTGCCCTGGTGTAATTAGTAGTAGTTCCCCCTTTCATTTTCAGAAGTGTCCTGGCTTGGATCATAAGTCATATGGTCACCTTAGTTTTAGGGTTTGATGATGACTTAGGACAAGGTAGGGAGCTCAGTTTGGTTTATAGGTGGTGCCGAGTGGGGATGTTCAGGTTTAGTGGCTGTCAGACCCCCAGGCAGGGTGGTAAGGGCAGCCCCAGGTGTATAAGGCTGGGGCTGGAATCCCCAGGTGCCCGCCAGGGTAGGGTGGGTCAGGGTGTGAAGGGAACCAGAAAGTGGAGCGCCGAGAGCTCAGCCGGGTAGGAGCGCTGTCCACTGCTGGGGAGTGGGTGGGTCAGATGAGGCCTGAAATTACCCCTTGGATTTGGCGATTGGGAGGTAGTGGGTGACCTCAGAGGGAGCAGCTGCAAGTCTGGGGCGGGTGAAGCCATCAGACAGGGCAGAGGGGAGTCTATTAACAGTGAAGGGAAGGAGGGGGCAGGCCCTGGCTAGGAGGAGGGGCGGCACGAGGGTCATTTGAGTTTTTCCTGTTGTGGATGTTTACTTCCCCCCTTCTTAAGGGCAGCAGGTCCTTTGGGACAGAAGGAACCACTGTGGTGGAAGGCCAGGAACAAAGGAGAAAGAGTGATGACTGGAGCAAAGTGCCTGGAGGGAAGGATGGGGTGCAGAGTACAGGGGAGTAGGAGCTCCCCACAAGGGCCCCCCATACATCCTCTACCACAGGGAAGGAGGCAGCGGTGGGCCGTGGCCCAAGCTGCTGGGGATGGGCCAAGAGGGCTCCCTGGAAAGAGATGGGTGGAGAGTAAGAGACCTGGGCCCCAGTCCTACCTCTAGCCGGGCCTTGCTGGGGCCAAGATGCCCCTGGCTCTTCTGGGCCTCACTTGCCAGACCTGTGCACCAGATGAGCCAGCGGAGGAAACTCTAGGATTTTAGGCTAGGGAATGCCCTTCTGTTGAGCAGAGTGTTGGTTTTTTTTGTTTTTTTGTTTGTTTGTTTTTGAGGAAGATTAGCCCTGGGCTAACTACTGCCAATCCTCCTCTTTTTGCTGAGGAAGACTGGCCCTGAGCTAACGTCCGTGCCCATCTTCCTCTACTTTATATGTGGGATGCCTACCACAGCATGGCTTTTGCCAAGTGGTGCCATGTCCACACCCGGGATCCGAACCGACGAACCCCGGGCCACCGAGAAGTGGAACGTCTGCACTTAACCGCTGCGCCACCAGGCTGGCCCAAGCAGAGCATTGTTGAGGATACAAGATCCACTTAGTGACAGGCAGGGTTTGGGGATTGGCCCCCAGGGTCACTTGACCTTCAGGAACCTTTCCCTAAGCTAGTGAGAAGAGGTTTGGCAATTCTTCTCAATTCTCTCCCCAGAAGACGTCCCGGCATACCAGCGGGGGCGGTGGAGGAGCAGGAGGAGGAGGCAGCAGCGGCACAGGGGGCAGTAGCAGTACCTTCATCGCTGGCAGGAGAAGCCGGTCAGCCTCACCGTCCACCCAGCAGGAGAAGCACCCTTCCCACCACGAGAGGGGCCAGAAGAAGGTGAAAGTCCTCCCGTCTGCCTCTCCTGCCCACACTCACACCTCTTTCAAGAAGCCACCACAAGGTTCCCCCAGGGCCTTGGGGCCTGTCCCCTTCCTTCCTGAGGGCCAGGAGGGGGCTGAGGAAGTGATATGGGAGGGTCACAGAGGGTGAGGTGAGAGCCTGGCTTCCCTGGGGCTCTTTGTGTCCTGTGGTTCCTGTGTCCTCCCCATGGCATGACAGTGTCTGCAAAGCCCCTAACACATGGCCCTGCACATTTGCACACATCTCCACAGTCTAGCCGTGTGTCAGCCCAGTTTGTAAGTGTGCCACACGTCACAGTGTCCCTGGCTCCTATCCCTCTGCACAGCTCTGTGTCCCAGGTGGACACACTTGCAGGTGTGTGCTCACGTGTTTGGTGCTCTGTGTCACTGGCATGATAATGGGACAGGCTATTTTTAACAGGCAGTTAATGAGGGGGAGGGGCTGTTGGCTCAGAGGAACCTGCCTGAACCACTCCTGTCCAGCCAAAGTCCCCTAGTCCCTCTGTAGGGGGGGATGACACCCACAAAGCCCCTTCTCTGAGCCACCCACATGTCATGTTTATCCTCACCCAAACTGCCCCCCAACACCAATATCTGGTCACCTCTCCCTCCCAGAGTCGAAAGGACAAAGAACGCCTTAAACAGAAGCACAAGAAGCGGCCTGAGTCACCCCCCAGCATCCTCTCCCCGCCTGTGGTCCCCACTGCTGACAAGGTACTGCTGCCCACACCAGGAAGGATGGCCACGGCAGTGGGAGGGAGCCCAGGTGTGAGGGGTCGGGGTGAGCCAGGGAGCCGGGCACCGCCCACAGCTTCAGGTTAATGTGCCTCAGCTCCCCACCCCAAACCCCGGTTCTCCCCCATTCTAGCCTAGGAGGGGCCTATGCAGCTCAGTGCCACCAAGCACTGACCAACCAGGAGAGTGAGGGTGGGGTGGGGGGTACCGCCCTGCTGCTGGCTGCCAGATGTTTACATCTGCCTCTCTCCAGACACAGGGCCTCAGCACTGGGCTCTTGTCTGCGGGTACAGTGCTCGGGCTGGTTCTCCAGGTTTCTGGGGCCCGGTGCCCCAGAGATAGGCAGAGAGGACCCCTTCGCTCTCTCCCTCCCCGACGTCAGGAGGATGCCAAGCCTGTTGCCTAACCAAAATCCCACTCCACGCAGAATGGAGGGGCTGGGAGTGCGGCCCAGGGTGGCATGGGGGACAGTCCCCTGGACAGCACCCTGAAACTCCCACTCATCCCACCCTTCCCAGTTGGGGCTTGGTATGTCAGGCCTGTCTCCAGAAATGGGCAGCATCTGGATGAGCAGCCGGCAGGCCCTACCCAGGCTAGTGAGTCGCTAATCCAAGCCAGAGCAGCCCTCCCTGCCCCTCCTTCCACCCGCCCTCCCCATGGAAGGATAGGGGACTGGAGAAACTCTTTCCTTCTGTTGCCATTATTGCCCCGTTCACCTCCCGCTGCCTCTGGAGGTTGGCAGGGCTCTGGGCATCATAGCAGGAGGCTCAGATATCAGGTTTCCAGGGTGATGTTGCTGTGGCAACTGTGCCAGTAACCCTCTCCCCACCCTGCTTCCCAGGGCTCACCTGGAAAAGCTTGTCACCTATGCCCTCTGACCTTTCCTTAGGGCCTGCAGGCAGGTGGAAAGAGAGGGCCAGAGATCTGGGAGTTCCCCCAGTGGCCCGATGTCCCCTTGGATATGTTGGAGCATTCTGCCCATCCCCCTCCACCCACCCCAGCATTTCAGCTACCCCTCCCCCTGGCCCCTCTCCTCCCTTGCTCTCAGAACCACATCTGGCTCCCTTCAGAACTCCAGCTGTTGAAAAGAACAAAGAGGAAGACAAAGACAAGGGCTCCGCCCAGGGAGGGGCAGCACAGGGTGGCTCTCATTCCCCCATCCATTCTCCCTCTGGCAGTTGTTCCTTCAGCACTCTTTACTGAATACCTTGTCTCCACCGGGAGGAAAGGCACCATCCCTTTTAATATGAAGCCCTGACTCACTCACCACATGCCAGGCTCTTCCAGAACAGGGGGATGGAAGGGGTGCCTGGGGATTAGTTCATTTAATCCTCAAAATAATCCAATGAAATAGGTATTTTTTAACCCCATTTAATAAATGAAGAAACTGAGGCACAGAGAGGTTGAGTAATTTGCCTAAAAGCACACAGCTAGTAAGTGGTAGAATCGAGATTTGCACCCAGGCAGCCTGGTTTGAAGGCCTGCACTCTTACCCACTGCAAGACACTGTCTCTGCAGTATATTAATAGCAGCCACCACTATCAAAATCATTGTTATTGACCCCATACTACGTATCTGCCATCGTGCTCCTCATAACTCTCCAAATAGGCATAATGAGCCCCGTAAGGACACTGAAGCTTAGTGAGGTTGAGAGACTATGCAGCATAACACGGTGGGCAACAGCAGAGCTGGCCAGGCTCACAGCCTGTGCTGCCCGACCCCAGAGCCCGTGTTCTTCCACCCACCGCCTGCCGCCCTCAGCGAGGTTACTGGGGGCCTCAGAAGTGGGGACGGTATGTTTCAGTACAGTGTGGCAGTTGCTGACATGGCTGATGTGGGTATGAGATGCCCTGAAAATAAGAGGACAGTGACTTGTTCCACCCCAGGTATCTAGGGTGGCTTCACGGAAGAGAGGACTTCAAGCTGGATTTTGAGGGACGAAAAGTTTCCCAGGAAGAGTAGGGACAGGCTCTCCTGGCAGAGGGCTCGGCACTGCCAGTTCAGATTGTCTAGGAAGGGCACAGGGTGGCCAGGGAACTGGTGTCCACCAGGTGGCTGCAGCTCAGGGTGAGCAGGGAGGGAGCGGTAGTGACTGGGGGGCCCAAGGATGGGGCCAGGACAGCTCCTTCTCGCTCGATCCCTCTTCCCCCGCACACACCACTTCTCAGCACAAGTCTAGCCCTCTTAGCCCCCCTAAGTATTTCTTAACTGATTGACTGGACAGATGAGCACATCAGCACAGACTCTGGGACCGTTTTCATCTTTCCCCTGCCTGAGGTGAAGCACAGACAGCTCCGTGGGTTCAGAACACTCCCCTCTCTTCACACCCAGAAGTTCCACAGCTGCCTCCCCATTTCCCTGGTCTAGGGGCTCCCACCACCATCGCCCTGCCTGGAAGTCCTTCCTGAAGCTAACTCTGGGCTCTCCTAGTAGAGCCCCAGGTCCTGTGTCCTCCTGCTCCACCCCCAAGTTGGGGTGAGCCCAGGCAGCTGGGCTTGAGCCTTCCTCTGTCCTCCCTCCGTCAGGTCTCCTCCTCAGCTTCTTCCTCCTCCCACCACGAGGCCGGCACTCAGGAGACCTCTGAGAGCAGCAGGGACTCGAAGGGGAAAAAGTCTTCCAGCCATAGCCTGAGTCACAAGGGGAAGAAACTGAGCAGTGGGAAAGGTGTGAGCAGCTTCACCTCCGCCTCCTCCTCCTCTTCCTCCTCCTCTTCCTCCTCCTCTGGGGGGCCCTTCCAGCCTGCAGGTGAGTGTGGGCATCCTGGAGGAGGTGGGAGCCCAACAGCTTTTGGCCCTGAGCTTTTCTAGCAGAGGCCTCTGCATATGGGTTTGCATGTCATTTGCTTCTTAAATCGGTTCAAGTTAAAGATGGGGAATCCCCACCCAGTGACTCCTCTCCAAACCTTCCCCTCAACCCTTCCTTCCTGGGCTGGAACTTTCCTCCCCTCCCTCTCATGGCTCACCCTCCCACCCCCGGAACAATGTTCCTTAACCCCTACACTTGTGTAGTAAAGTGCCATCTGTAAAGTACCAACACTAATGTTAGCTCTTGTACTCTCTCCAGTGGTCCAGTGAGGTCATAGGGAGGGAGTTATTCCCCTCCTACTCTATCACAGGTGGGAAAGCTGGAGGGGGAGGACACTCATCCCAGGACACAGAGACAGTGGTGGAGCTGGACAGGAAACTAGGCTTCCCCAACCCCCGACCAACTAGTGCATGTTGGGAGTGGGAGGGAGTGAGGGGATCTGGGGTCCAGCTGTAATTCGGTTTTCCCTCTATGCAGTTTCGTCCCTGCAGAGCTCGCCTGACTTCTCTGCATTCCCCAAGCTGGAGCAGCCAGAGGAGGACAAGTACTCCAAACCCGTAGCCCCCACCCCTTCAGCCCCCCCCTCCCCCTCAGCCCCCGAGGCCCCCAAGGCTGACCTCTTCGAGCAGAAGGTGGTCTTCTCTGGCTTTGGGCCCATCATGCGCTTCTCCACCACCACCTCCAGCTCGGGCCGGACCCGGGCCCCATCCCCTGGGGACTATAAGTCTCCCCATGTCTCGGGGTCCGGGGCTTCAGCAGGCAACCACAAGCGGATGCCCACCCTCAGCGCTGCCCCTGCGCCTACCGAGGAGACCCCTGAGACAGGCCTGAAAGAGAAGAAGCACAAAGCCAGCAAGAGGAGCCGACATGGGCCAGGCCGGCCCAAGGGCAGCCGGAACAAGGAGGGTACTGGGGGCCCAGCCGCTTCCTCCCTGCCAGGTGCCCAGCTGGCTGGCTTTACCGCCACTGCTGCCTCACCTTTCTCTGGAGGTTCCCTGGTCAGCTCCGGCCTGGGTGGTCTGGCCTCCCGCAACTTTGGGCCTTCCGGGAGCCTGCCCAGCCTGAGCCTGGAGTCCCCCCTGCTGGGGGCAGGTTAGTGACCCTTGGGGACAGAAGGCATCTCATGCCAATCTAGTATGGGGACAGAGGCATAAACATGCAGTTAGAAGGAAATGTGATAGAAACTGCTCCAAAGGACAGGGATAAAGGATGGAGGTGACAGTCACCTCTAAGACACTCCTCCCTAGCCATCTTCTGCATAGTTGTAGTGGGAGAGATCAGGATAGACTGCCAGTAGGACTTACCAAGTTTTGGGTGGGGAATTAGAAAAGCTGGGAATTCCTCAGGCCTGGGCAGGGCTGTGTAATAAGCAGGCACGTAAAGCAGATGTCACCAAGGCAAAAAGTGACATCTTTGCAGCAAGAGAGTTAGACAGGTATGTGAGGCCAGATCCAGAGGAGTGCTCTCATTGGGGAGGGGCCATCCCAGCCACCTGACTGAGGAGGGGCCTGGGGACGTGGTGACTGTAAGCTTCCCTCTTGTCCTTCTTGTGCCTGTAGGCATCTACACCAGTAATAAGGACCCCATCTCCCACGGTGGCGGAATGCTGCGGGCTGTCTGCAGCACGCCCCTCTCCTCCAGCCTGCTGGGGCCCCCAGGGACCTCGGCCCTCCCCCGCCTCAGCCGCTCCCCATTCACCAGCACCCTCCCCTCCTCCTCTGCTTCTATCTCCACCACTCAGGTGAGGCCTTACTCCTGAGCCCCTCCATCCCTGGGCAGGTGGGGGACAGGCTGCCGAGGACCCCAGCTCTCCATGGGATTTTGAGATTGGGCTGGATCACCACCAGAACTTCTCTCTGGTCGTCTCTCCTCCCCAGCACACCTGGTCCCCTCCACCCTGGTACACACAGTTGTGCCCTAGATCCAAGAATAACCACCGGGCTGGACTCTACCTCCTTTCCCTCAGGTGTTTTCTCTGGCTGGCTCTACCTTTAGCCTCCCTTCTACCCACATCTTTGGAACACCCATGGGTGCCGTTAACCCCCTCCTCACCCAAGCTGAGAGCAGCCACACAGGTATGTGAGTCTCTGACCCCACTCCCCTTTCTTCCCAAAGGCCTGAGGGGCACCCATCATCTGCATGTCACCCAAGAAAGGATGGGAGGGCTTTCTGGCTGCCCCCTCCCTCTGGCTATTGCCCACCCTACCAAAAGAAAATATTTCACACACAGCAAACCACTTTTACGTTAAAACCAGTTAGGGGGACAGGCAGGGCAGGGAAGAATTACTACTGTTCCATCTCACAGAAGAAAAAGGCAGAGAATAACGACTTGCTCAAGGCAGTTGAAGGAGGCAAAGACATAGGGGAACTCAAATTCTGGCCTCCCGACTCCAAGCCCAGTTTGCTCACGGCTGCAGCATAGCTCCCGCCGCCGGCCTATTAGTGAGTCCTTGGGATCAGCGTTTACAGACAACCCCACCCGCTGGGCAACTGCTCCCCGGGTATTTAGGAGTTAAGGGGGCGGGTCACAAGCGCCCCTCCCTTTCCCTGGAGAATTAATCCAGCCCCAGAGAGCTGATTGGTGCAGAGATACCACCTGGCCGGCTAGGGGGCGGGGCTTGCCTCTCGGCCGCCAGTTCAGGTAGGCCTTCTTAAAGGGGTCAAATCCGATTCCAGAAAAGAACCCGAGAGTAGGGTGACTATATTTTCCAAAACCCAGAACGGAATTGTGTGGCCCAACAAAGGGTTTTGCCAACTAACATGTGAGTTTATGACTATAAAAAGTCGCACAAAACTAATAACAGCTACAATTATTAAGGGCTTGCTGCAAGGCAGCTAAACCCTTCAGCTTATCACCTCACATTTACCTATTACCTTATTTTAAGCCACACAGCAGTCACTTCAGACAGGTTAGTTACAAGCCCAAGGTCACATGGTAAGTATCAGATCCAGGTTCAACCCAGGACTGCCTAGACTCCAAATTTCTATTACTCTGAGGCTTCCATGAAAGAAACTGGGAGGTGGATCTGAAAGTGGCCAGACAGTGGGAGCCTTTCTGCCTAGAGAAAGGGGAGGACTAGATCCCATAGCTTTGCCTCCCAAGGGGCCAGGTTTCCAAGCCAGCGCTCCCAGCGCCTTACAAGCTAGAACTGCCAGTCTGGGGTTGGGAGATCCTGGGTTAAGGTCCCAGATCCCGCACTCACTTTCGAGGCGGGGACCATGAGGCCAATGGCACCCCTTCCCCGCTGATCCCTGCCCCCTTCTCCTTCCAAGAGCCAGACCTGGAGGACTGCAGCTTCCGGTGTCGGGGGACCTCCCCCCAGGAGAGTCTGTCTTCCATGTGAGGGAGGGGTAGCGGCTTGGGGGAGGGCCTGGGAGCGGGGCTGGAGGGACACCTGGGGAGGAGGGCGTGGAGAGGCGGGCAAGGGAGGGAGGGGGGTCCGAAGGGAACACACTGGAACCCCTGAGGGGAGAGGACGGAGGGAGGGAGACTGGAGTCGGGGCGTGAGGTAAGCCTGAGCCCGGTTTTCCCTTCCGACCCCAGGTCCCCCATCAGCAGCCTCCCCGCACTCTTCGACCAGACAGCGTCTGCACCCTGTGGGGGCAGCCAGTTAGACCCAGCGGCCCCCGGCACAACTAACATGGAGCAGCTGCTGGAGAAGCAGGGCGACGGCGAGGCCGGCGTCAACAGTGAGGAGGGGTGGCGCTGGGCTGGGGGACCACCCCAAGCACCCCCAGACTCGGTCACCCTTCTCCCCGAGGTCCCCAAACGTCTTTAAGGTTCCGTCCCTCGGCCTCGCCCCAGCCTTAACTCCTGCCAACCTCAGCTTCACCTTTAACCCCTGCTAAGCCCTGCTCCCGGCCTCGCCCCCTCTGCGCCCGCCTTTGGCCCTCGCGCCCCCTGGACCTTACCTTACTAAACCCCAACTTCCGCCCGCCTCTTCCCTCCCCATCTCAAGGCCGCGACCCTCAGGCCCCGCCCCTAGTCCTCACACCTCCGGCTCCCCACGGCCCGCCTCTCGAAGCTCACCTGTGTCCCTCGGTAGCCGGCGCCTTCTCTTCTAGGTTTCGTCCGATTTCCTCCGCCAGGTCCCGCCCCAGGCCCCGCCCCCGGCGCTCTGGCCCCGCCCCCAGCCCGCGCCCCGCCCCTCCGGGCCCGCGGGGCTCAGGCGCTCTCGCTCTTTCTGCAGTCGTGGAGATGCTGAAGGCCCTACACGCACTGCAGAAGGAAAACCAGCGGCTTCAGGAGCAGATCCTGAGCCTGACAGCCAAGAAGGAACGACTGCAGATTCTCAACGTGCAGCTCTCTGTGCCCTTCCCCGCCCTGCCTGCCGCCCTGCCTCCCGCCAACGGCCCTGTCCCTGGGCCCTATGGCCTGCCTCCCCAAGGTAAGGGGATCCCGCCCAGCCTGGGAGTGGGGGCCTCTGCCGGGCGGTCCGAAGTGGCCTCGACTCCAGCCCCTGACCTCCTTCCCTGATGCCCCTCCTCAGCCGGCAGCAGTGATTCCTTGAGCACCAGCAAGAGCCCCCCGGGGAAGAACAGTCTCGGCCTGGACAACTCGCTGTCCACGTCTTCCGAGGTGGGCGCCGCGGGGAGGGGCACGGGGGACGGGCAGGAGGGGAAGGCGCAAGGGCCTCCTGGTCCCATCTCCACCCTGCAGCTATTGGAGGCTGGGCAAGGAAGTGATTGGCTGAGCGATTGGTTGACTGATCCATTCATTCCTTCCTTAAATAAGCAATAATCACGAGGTGCCTACTTACTGCCAGGCACTGGCTAAACAATCAGTGAGGGAAACGCACACAGTCCTGTTCCTGAAGAGAGGCTAAATCCAAGAAAACGACCGAGAATTACAGACCTGGAAAAGTGCTAAGATGGAAATACTTTGAGGGCTGTGAGGAAGAATGGGGGTGGATTCTTCTGTAGATAGGAGGTGGTTAGGGAGGGCCTCTTTGGGAAGTGTTTGCGAGCGTTCACTACAGTGCCTCACACAGAACAGTCCCTGTGTAACTGGTGGGGTTTGGGGGAGTAGTTGCTATTGTTACATTGTGGTTATTATTGAAGTCAAACAAACTGGCTTCTTGCTCCCCTGCCCCTTACTGACTGATGGGCCATAATAATCACAATAATAACTAACATTAATTGCACACTTGCCCTTTGATGACAGAGGGCATGTCTCCTGTGTGAGACTTTTAAAGCATTGGTTTGTTTAGTCTTCACAGTGACCTTATGCAGTCGGTACCACTGTTACATGCATGTTATGAGTGAGTAAACTGAGGCAGAGAAGCCACCCAAGCCTGTGGAATAGTGGACACAGGAATTGTGGACATAGGATTTGAACCTGAGCTTTTCGCTCTGGCTGCTGTTCTCTTGACCGCAGTTACTTAGTCTAAGAATCAGTGGCTTCACCCATGAAGTGAGAATGACAAGACAGGACAGGTCAAGCAGCAGCAGCGATCCTGGGTCTGGTTCACGAGAGGGTCACTGCTGTCACGAAGGGACTTGTAGACATGATTTGCGAAGACTATTTGGATTCTTAGCCTTTACCCTGGCCCTGCTTCTTCCTCCTGGGTGGCTCTGCCTGGGGGTGAGGTGGGGGTGACTATGCTCTGTGAGAATGCTGATGGGTGCTGGGCCGGGGGCCAGAAAAGTCCTGCTGGCCCCCTGCCCTCTGACCCCTCCCTTCCCCCTCCCTCCCCAGGACCCACACTCAGGCTGCCCGAGCCGCAGCAGCTCATCGCTGTCCTTCCACAGCACGCCCCCACCGCTGCCCCTGCTCCAGCAGAGCCCCGCTGCTCTGCCCCTGGCCCTGCCTGGGGCCCCTGCCCCGCTCCCGCCCCAGCCACAGAATGGGCTGGGCCGGGCACCCGGGGCAGCGGGGCTGGGGGCTATGCCCATGGCTGAGGGGCTGTTGGGGGGGCTGGCGGGCAGCGGGGCCCTGCCCCTCAATGGGCTCCTGGGGGGGTTGAATGGGGCTGCCGCCCCCAACCCTGCGGGCTTGAGCCAGGCTGGCGGGGCCCCCACGCTGCAGCTACCAGGTTGTCTCAACAGGTGAGGGAGAGCTCAGCCTGGGGAGGGGAACGGGGAGGCTGGCTCTGGGAGGGACTCCCCCAAACACCCACCATCCCCCAAAAGGCAAAATGTCCCCCAGTCTCACAGGCTGTAGAATCTAGTCACCTCCTGCCTCGGGTACTGCCTGCATGTTAGATGGGAGTGTCCTCTGGATGGTAGCTCTCCAGGTTCAGATCATCTGTTGATTTATTGGACCCAATCTAGGTTTTCCTCCTGGCAACCTTCTTCCATCTCACTTGTCTCCCCCCAGCTGCCCTCTCTGAGCTCTTCTGTTTCTCGTTAGTCCTCTAAAATCGCACATCCCTGCCTCTCTCCACCTGGGTCTGAGGGAGCCCAGGAACTTGGGCGGGGGGAGGAGTGTCTCCCTGTCCCTTGCCATGGTCTGCGTTTTGTCCCCCTGCTCAGCCTAACGGAGCAGCAGAGACACCTCCTGCAGCAGCAAGAGCAGCAGCTCCAGCAGCTCCAGCAGCTCCTCGCCTCCCCACAGCTGACCCCGGTAACTCCTCTCTTCCCAGGCCGTCTCCCCGCTCTCGCTCCGCTGGAAGGTCCCATCTCAGAGGGTCTGGGCCAGCCTGGGGAGGACAGGTGTAGAAGGGAGGGAGGGCGGCCCCAGGCGGGGCTGATACTGCACCTGTGGGCCAGGGCCTGGCCCCTGTGGAGCCTGTGGGGGCGGGTAGAAAAAGGTTGCTCTCAGGGGCCCCTGGGCATTGGGGAGGGGATGCTGGAGTGGCCCCAGAGCACATCCTAGTGTGAGGATCGGGAGGGCGCGAGTCCTCAGTTACTGAGCATTTCCAGTCCCAGCCCCAAGGATCTTCAGAGAGCAACTTCAGGGTCACTGTGGAGAGGTGGCTGAGCAGGTGACACCCCCTCAACCAGAGCAGCCCCTTTTGGGTCTCTCTCTCGTATGCCGGGTTCTGCTAAGATTTCCTTTGAAGGAAATTGTTCTGCCTTCTAAAAAGGAGGGAATTGATAAAATGGAAAAAAATAATCATTTTCATAGAAAGAAACATTAGAAAGATACACAAGAAACCAATTCAGGGGCTGGCCTGGTGGTGCAGTGGTTAAGTTCGCACGTTCCGATTCTTGGCGGCCCAGGGATCGCCGGTTCAGATCCTGGGTGTGGACGTGGCACCGCTTGACAAGCCATGCTGTGGTAGGCGTCCCATGTATAAAGTAGAGGAAGATGGGCATGGATGTTAGCTCAGGGCCAGTCTTCCTCAGCAAAAAGTGGAGGATTGGCAGTAGTTAGTTCAGGGCTAATCTTCCTCAAAAAAAAAACAAAAGAAACCAATTCAGCTAGTTGCCTATAGGACCCAGGTGGGAACAGGAGTAGGAGCAAGATTTCTTAAGGTAAACCTTGGTCTGCTGTTTTGGTTTTTGGAACACTGAAAATGCTTTGCCTATGCAATGCAAAAATAAATGAATCTTAAATGAAAACTAAACAAACAAAAAAAGGGAGGGAGTTGAAAACTATTGACCTAGTTTAGTATTTCTCAACTTGGGGTCATACCACCCCTGAGGGCATTTGTGGTTGTCATAGCAACTGAGGAACTGATTTAGTGAGGGAATGGGCCTGGGGATGTTGAATATCCTGCACTTGGCCGGTGGTACCCCAGTTGACAAACACTGATGGTATGCAACCACTCCTTTGTTCAAATGGGAAAACTGAGGCCGGGGAGTAGGGAGTTAGAGACAGAACCTTGACTGTCTCCTGGGTCTCCTGCTTCATGGTTCCATTGTGATGGCATGGAGCCCGGGCCAAGCAGGGCATGCTGGCCCCAGGGACCACTGGCCAATGAGCAGTCTGGCCCCCTCGCAGGAACACCAGACTGTTGTCTACCAGATGATCCAGCAGATCCAGCAGAAGCGGGACCTGCAGCGGCTGCAGATGGCCGGGGGCTCCCAGCTGCCCATGGCCAGCCTGCTGGCAGGAAGCTCCACGCCGCTGCTGTCCGCGGGCACCCCTGGACTGCTGCCCACAGCATCTGCCCCACCCCTGCTGCCCGCCGGAGCCCTGGTGGCTCCCTCACTCGGCAACAACACGAGTCTCATGGCCGCAGCAGCTGCGGCCGCAGCAGTAGCAGCAGCAGGTGGACCTCCAGTCCTCACTGCCCAGACCAACCCCTTCCTCAGCCTGTCAGGGGCGGACGGCAGTGGCAATGGCCCCAAAGGAGGGGTGAGTAAGGGGCCCTGGGCTGTCCTGTCTTCCTTCTCTGGGATAGGCAGAGGTGGATCATCAGAAAGCACATCAGAGGCATCATCAGAAGGAGGAAGGAGGCCACCCTTAGGTTGGCCAAGCGCCCTGCTCCAGACCCCGGGGCCTCTGCTAGCACGGGGGTGCCCTCCTGCAGATCCAGGAAAGATACGCTCTGAGTGTGAGCTAATAGTAGAAGGACCCTTAGAAAAGGCTGTTTCCTCTCTGAGTGGACTGATTAGGAAAAAATGAAGCTCTGGGTGGGCCATTTCGAGAAAGGTCCTCCCTCTTTCCTTCTGCTGACAGCACACCGCCAGAGCCCAGGGTGCTGGCCTTGGCTGGCACTTGCCTGCTTAGCTGGGTGCCCTTGTGCAGGGTGACTTCCCCACACACACGTTGACCTTGGTGTGCACCTGCCACAGCCCATGCCAGGAGCATCAGCTGGGCTCCCTCGCTGCAGCCTACAACAGCTTCCTTGACCCAGGAAGCTGTTCTCAACTGGGTGTTAGGACCAGACACCTCCCAAACCCGCAGCCTCCCTCTCTCTTTCCAGACCGCTGACAAAGGAGCCTCAGCCAACCAGGAAAAAGGCTAAATCCACCCATGGCCCTCCTGACCCCCCAAGTGGAGGGGGCAGATCCTGGCCTGAGGGGTCCTAGCCTGGAGCAGGCACCTGCGCCCAGACACTGGAGAGCCCCGGCCCACATCCTGTGCTGAGGCCCGGGGAGTGTGAGGCACTCCTGGTGCCGAGCATGGACTGAGACCAGAGGCGAGCCCCTTCCATTGGCCCCTTCCCTCTCTGCACTGACCCCTTTGTGAGGGGCTCAGAGGGAGGACAGGCTCCAAGCCCGCCTAGGAGCCCCCACTCTCAGTGAGTGTTTGAGGTCTCAGAGAGCAGAATGGGCCATGGCATAAGTGGGGGTTGGTTGGACCCTCCACATAAAATGGATCAGCACTTGAGTGGGGAGAAGAGGCGGGTAGGCCCTGGGCCTGCCCCTGCGTGGAAGTGGAAGTCTTTTACCAAGAAGGGTGGCCCCACTTTACCTGCAGTTTCTTCCCAACTTGGGCAGATGGCAGGAGGGATCCCTTGGACTGTTTCTGGCCAGTCCCCTTCCCCTGCCCCCCAACAAGGGTCTCGAGCTGAGCTTGTAAAAGCCCACAGACTCGGGGACTGAGGAAGGGACAGGATGGCATCAAACTGGGCCCAAGCCTCCCCACCTCTGGTTCCCCAATGATGGGTTGGGGGAGGGCAGGGGGAAGAGGCCCAGCCCACTTGGTGCCCCGCCCCTTTTTGCACTATTGGGTTTAGGAGTGCTGAGGCTGGGGATATGGAGCTGCCTGACTCAGAGAGCGTGTGTCCGTGTGCGTGCTTGCGTGTGCATGTGTGTGTCTCCCCTGGACCTGGGGCAGCTAAGGGCAGGGATAGGAGCAGTGCTCAGATGAGGCAGCACCAGAGGGGGGGGGCTCCCAGCTCTTGTTTGCACCCTCCCCACCTCCCCAACTTTGGTCCCTTTCTGGGGCATGAATGGTTAACAGAAACCGAAACAGTACTCCAATATTGGAGAGTAATGGGGCCTGGGGGCTTAGAATCAGGGTAATATCCTGCCTTCCCTCCCCCAGCCCCTGCATAGTCTCAGTGCCCCCTCAGAGCTCCCCTTCCCCACTGATAGTTGGTCTTGCTTCCCTGGCACAAGGGGAGCCCCAGGGATGGGGATTGGGGGATGGGGCAAGGGGCGGGCGGTGGGGGTAAAGTGCCACTTCCTTTAATGAAAACCTCCCTCCCAGAACTAACCAGCCTGCTCCCCTGCACCTCCCCCCACAACCAGGGGACACTTAAGCTTAAGCTGACCTAACAACTGTCCCTTCACCCACCAGCTATTTTCCCCCGGGCTGTAGTGGGAAAGTCTCACCTTAAAGAGTCCCCCGCCTGCCCAGGGCCTTTGGTGGCAAGGCCGAGGGGCAGCGGGACAGCCAGGAGAGGGGCAGGGTTGAAGCCTGTGTCTGTTTCAGTTGCACTGGGGTTGGGGCCGGGAGAAGGCGTTTCCAGCTTTCCCTGATGCTCATGTCTTGTCAGTCTCTTTGCATGTGTGGATTTTTGTGTGTGTGTTTCTGTTTGGGTTTTTGTTGTTGTTGGTTTCTTTTTTTTAAATAAAGAAAAGAAGATGTGTATATTTTTGGCAACGACAGAAACGTAGTGCAGATATATTTTTGCCTGTGCTGCTCAACTGGTTTTTTTCTGATACTGAAAATAATATTCCTGTTGATAAGACTTTGTAAGATGTTAGGGAGCTGATAATGGAGGGGGTGGGTGGGAATCCTTCAGAGGCAATTTCTTAGGCACTTGCAAGGGCTGGGGGGAGGGGGGAGGCAATTGTGATGACCTCAGAAATACTCACTTTTTATTAATGCTAAATATCAGTTAGAAAGAAATGATAGAATTCAGCATTTTATTCCATCTTTATCTGTTAAGCTCTCTAACTCCCTGACCCCAGACCATTGAAAAGAAGAAGAACCTTCAGAGATTCTTAGAAGAGTTGCTCATTCACACCCATGCCCTCACCCACGGCTGGCCCACTTAGAGCTGAAGTCCACTTCTGTTCTGGGTGGGAGGGAAGTAATCTTCAAGGTTGCCGTGGTGGCATGATTTAGTGCACTGGAACCAAGACCTCCCCCCTCCCTCCCAGCACCCAAGAGTCTGGGGTTCTCATCTCCAAGAGTATGTTTTCCAACTTCCCCAGGCTGGGGTGCAGCGTCAGGTAGTCAGGTTAGATTTGAAGAAGGGACCCAGGCTGGGTATGGATTGGTGCTGTCCCTCGATTCGGGGTGGGGGGTGCGGGGCATGAGAGGTAATACATTTTGTTCAATTGAGGGAGCTTTATAATAGGAAAGGTCTGGAGATCTTCAGAAGGGAGCAGGGTCCCAATGCCAGGCGGGGACGGCTATACTGACCTCACCCTCCTCTCCCAGCCTCAGTCGCTTTTTCCAGGGTGAAGTTGGATGGAGAGTGAGAAGGGACTGCAGACTTGTAGATGGCTCTGTCTAGGGGAGGGGAGGGATGTGGTTTGCAGGGCGGAAGTCGAGCTTGAAAATGCATGAGAGTGGAGCTTTGTGTCCTCACCCTCAGCTCAAGGTATGAGTGGGTATGCATGCAGGGCCGCTGTTCTGTTTGGCCTGAGTGACAGAGCTGGAAGGGACCTGTCTTTAGAGGTCCTTTGAGCCAGCTCCTCGTTTCGCAGGTGATAGATCCAAGCCTAGGAGGAGCAGAGGCTCGGACAGAGCCAGGACCAGCCCTCAGGACCCTGGCCTCCTGGTCCTGGCTCTCTCGCCCCACTGTACCACCTCCATGAGGCTGTCCATCTGTCCCTGTGTGTGTGATGTGCAGTGTGAGTGGAGTGCAGGGCTGTGCCCCGGCTGGGAGGGTATGTGTAGCACTGATGTCTTAGCTCAGAGCTGATGGATCCTCTCTATAGACAATGACACTTTAAAGCTTGCCTTTTTTTTTTTTTTTTTTTGAGGTTTTCTTATTTGTGTGTGAGTTTTCCCCCTCAGGCTCCTGGGTCTACTGCCAGCTCCAGGTGCCGTTACCTTGAGGCTGATGAGAGCACCCCTGCGTGTTCCTGTACTGAGTTCTAGGAAGCACTCCTGGGAAGGGCCTAGACCAGTGAGGGGAGCCACAGCCAGGGGCCAGCTCTGAGAAAGCGTAACCTTCCCCACACTTCTTTTCCCAAACTGGAAACATGGACAGATTTTCAAAGGCACAGGCTCCCCGTGCCAGCTTCCAGCATCTTCCTTGTGCAGTGGACTAGAGTTAGGGGCAGGCAGCCTGCTCCTGATTCTCCTTTATCCCACTTATTTTGTCAGGGAGAGGTGCATGGAGGGATCAAGGTCACTTCAATTGGGAATTTGGAGGAAGATGGGGCACAGTCCCCTGGCTCCCTCTGGTCGCATCAATCCCAAAAAGTGTCTGCCTCTCCTGACCATTTTGACTTGATCTACTGAAAAGTTGGGGACCGAGGGGTGACTTTATTGCCTTTTTTTTCACTTTGGGACTTGGGTCATAGGACTGGAGAACCCAAACCCTGACTCCCACTCTTGTGCCCCTCTTTCCATCCCATCCTGTCTCAATGTAGCAGACCCTTCCCAGGGCGCAGGGAGGGGAAGCCGCAGTTCGCAAACCCAGGGGCTCCTTTTTCATTCTTTCTAAAACCTTTATATCCTCAGCCCAAAAGGCAATGGCCACTCCTGCCACCTCCAAGCCTGGAATTGTGCATAACCCGGATCTTGTATCTTTGTATAACGGATGTTATTTGTACGAAGGGCGGTTCGTAAACAGCACTTGTTCTTTTAATAAAAGAATGTTTTACAAAAAAAAAAAAAAAATCCTAAGAGACCCTGCTTTGTCTGCCTTTATTGAAGGGAAAGGAGGTGGAGCGCCGACTGTGGGCGCCTTGGGAGGGGAGGGGCATGGTCTATTACACTTCTTTAGGCACTCAGAGTAGTTTACAGACCGGAATGCACAGAATACCCGGGCTGCCTGCTGAGAACGGGTACCTGTGCCCCACCCACAACAATGTAAGGCGTAAACCTGGGCCGACGGAATCTGTTAAAAAACCAGCTCCCTGGGTGATGAGATGGACTCCACAGCACTTCTAGAAACACTGCCTCAGACTCGGCCAGAGATAACGGCTCCCAGGAGGGTCCCCGCTCACACGGGGGGGTGCCCCGGGAGGCCCAGGCAAGGAAGGGAGAGGCGAAGCTCCGCGCAGGTCATTCCGGAGGCGTGCCAGGGAGGGGGCGCCAGGACAGCCCTCTTTACACTCCCGGGGGGACCCGAGTTGCTGTCGGGGTGGCACCTCTGCTCGGCTTCCGGAGGCCAGGGCTGGACCGGACCGCGCAGGCCGCCGCCCCACCCGCGCGGAACCCGTGGCGTCTTCCGGGCCGAGGCGGGGCCGGGCCGGCCGGGGGGCGGGGGAGCGGGAAGGTGACCCGAGCGCGGGGCGGGGCCGGCGGGGCCGGCGCGGCGTGACGGGGCGGGGCGCAGCGCGGCGGAGCTGACCAGTATGGGCGCCGTGGGTGCTCTCCTGTGGCCGGCGGCGTGGGTGAGCGCCCTGCAGCCCCGGGCCCCCTCTGGCCCTCGCCCACTGACCCCCGCCCCCGCCCCGTCCCTCCTGCCCCTTGGCCGAGCATCCCCCCATGTCCCCGCGTCTCCTGGTGCTTTGCAGCCCTCCCTGAGCGCCTGCTGAGTACCAGCACCTCCCCTACTTCTCTTGTGACCCCTTTTTCTCACCCTCTCATTTCTCCCACGCTAAGCCCTGTCGTCTCTCCCCTCCCAGTGACTTCCCTCTGGAAGTCCTCCGCTTTCCATTGACTTTATTTTTCTGTTTCCAAACCGTCTCATGATGCCTGCGTGCCTTGCAGAAGCTGCACCAGAGGCGGGACATCTCCTCCTGGCTGGTAAGCACCCCCAGTTTCCCCCTCTCTCCGCGCAAGTCTCCCAGGCCCAGTGGCCCCAAAGGTAGAGAGGACAGAATGGAACCAGAAAGGGTCAGCCCTGCTTCCCAGACTCCAGCCTCCGAATTCCTGGCAGTGGCCACCTGCTGATGGCTCGGGGGAGGTAGAGTGGACAGGAGGGCACAGGGCAGGAAACCAGGCTTCCAGGCTGGGAGCTGTGCCCGATAAAGCAGGCCTCAGGTGCACTTGGCCCGCTTAGGCTGGCGGGATCCTGGCCCTCCCCTCCGTAGCACCCAGGTGGGAGCCAGGGTTTGAAGGGAAGGCAGCTGGCCCCGGGAACCTGAATGTCTGCGTGGCCTTGAAATCTATCTGGAGCTCAGGGTCCTTATGGTGTCCGAGGGGGAATGTCCTTGCAGGGTGGCATCAGATCAGCCTCCTGCAGAGGAAGCCTGCCACAAGCCAGGCCAGTGGGAAACTGGACAAGGCCACAGGCAGGCAGGTGCTTCCAGGGTGCCTCATCTTCCCTGCCACAGGCCAGATGGTTCCCCAAAACCCCAGCCAAGGCTGTGGTGGCCCAGAAAACACCCATCAAAGTGGAGCTGGTGGCTGGGAAAACCTACAGGTGGTGTGTGTGTGGCCGCAGCAAGAAGCAGGTAAGAGACCTTTCCCCTTCCCCTTGACATATGACACCCTTTGTTGGGGACAGCACGGTGTCTCCTGGGAGTTCCAGCCCAAGATGTTCCTCTTTCTCCCACACATGCCTAAGGGACAAGGGAGGTTAGGGGTGAAAGGATACTCTTGGGCCAGTGCCACAGCAGCCTGAGCTCCCTGTTCTCCGCATCCACCTTTGAGATGAGGGCAGAGACAGAAACTCAGTCACAAAGGCAGGTGGGTGATGCCCGGAGGTTCTGCACTCCTCTAGCGCTCCCTCCTTCTCAGAGGCAAGGTCGGGGCTCCCGCTCTGAGCACTGAGAGCTCGCTTGTCTCTTCCCGTCTCCTTCCTCCTTCTGGGAAGCATCTGGGCAAAGGTTCCCAGGGCTCGACCCTACATTGAGAAGACCCTATGCAGGCCCTCCTACAGTGTCTTCTCAGGCAGACCCTCCCCTTTCTCAGTTTATGTGACATTCCTGGTTTCGTGCCACAGCCTGCTGTCTTCTCAGTCTGCCTGCCTGCTCCCAACTTTTCTCCCTTCTGCCCCAGGAAGCTGCCCCATATTCTTAGCCTCTGGGCTGAGCTCTCAACTGTGTTCCTCCAAGGGGCGTGGTGTGCTGTCAGCAGCCCGGGGTCCCAAGTCTGCTTTGCCAGATTTGACATATGAGCAGGTCCTCATGAGGGTGGGGCAGCGCTAGAGAATGCCAGCCCCAGCGTGGCCTAGCCCAGGTAGGCACTCTGTGCCTCTCTGCCTCTTGCCCTGTGGGACAGGTTGCTGACTTTTATTTGCATACTTCTCTCATCTCTTCTCCTACCCCACCCTGACCCCAAGGTCAAGAGGCCTTGGTTCCAGCTCTGCCACTAACTAGCAAGACAAGGCACCTCTCTGGGCCTCAGTTTCCACTACCCAGCTTCTGCTTGAACAGCTGCTGGGATGGATGGGCAGGATGGTCCCGCATCAGGCAGCCAGTCTGCTGTGGGACATCCGCTTTGTCCCTGTAACACCCACTCCGTATAACATGCCCAGTTGTTTCCTGGAGCCAAACAAAATTGATACCCTAGGCTTAAAGCACTGTGATGCACACAGGCTCTCTCCCACCCAGAGAAGTTTTTTCCCAAGAATATGGGGAAGGAAATGAATTTCATGAGCCAATGTAGACTCAGAACCATTTAAAAAAACCTATCAGGTAAACATTGCTGATACCTAAGGCCCCATTTCACCTTGAAAATTCTGTCCTTGTGTCCTGCTCTCTGGGTCCTCTAGAGACTAATGCTATAAAAACTCTTACTGAACACTTACTGTAGGCAAAGTGTGTAATAACCAGTGTTTATTTTGTTTCCTTGGGACAATTCTACTCTTATTACCCTCTCATTACAGATAAGCGAGGTAAACTAGTGAACCAGGCTGTCAGCCTCAGAGTGGAGCCCCGCCCTAGCAGGTGGGGTCAGGTCTCTTAACTTCTTTCTCTCACCAGCCCTTCTGTGACGGCTCCCACTTCTTCCAACGCACTGGCCTGTCCCCACTCAAGTTCAAGGCCCAGGAGACGCGTGCAGCGGTCCTCTGTACCTGCAAGGCCACCCAGAAGCCCCCGTACTGCGATGGCACCCACAAGAGCGAGCGGGTGCAGAAGACAGAAGTGGGCTCCCCACTCTGAGGGGGTGGCTGCCGCCCAGCGCCAGGCCTAGAGAGGTACCCCCATTGTGGGGAAGGAAACGGAGTGCTAAGCCCAAGAAGGGATCATCCAGGGACCCCGCTACCCACAGCTGGCTTGTGAAAAACGTGCTCCCTGTAACTGAGGTGTCTAATCTGGGGACCTCTAACCTGGTCCAATGCCTGCTGGTAGACGAGATGGCATTAAACAAGCATGCCTGCCCAGAGTGCTTTTCTTGTCACTCGTGTGAGGCACATGGCCTGTCCGTGCTCTAGGACCTGGGCTCGGGGCACCTGACCAGCCACAGGGAGGGGGTAGTTCATGTTCATTCCAGAGGGGGTCCCCTGAGGCAGGCTGAGGCCAGGGGACCCACCTACCCCTTCCCTCTCCCCTCAAACCCAAAGAACCACAGGCTTCGGAGAGTATGCAGCATTTATTACAAAGCCAGGAGATACAAATGGCCCAGGGCAGGAGGAGGGGACAGCCACAGCACCTCAGACACACGACAGGGTGCAAACACAGACAAACCCGTCAGGGGCTCCCCACCCCAAAAACCCAGGTTATGAAAGAGTCTTGCCTCCTCCGTGATCTGCTCTATGTACAGTGGAGGAAAAACAGGTGGGCAGGGATCTGGTGGGGTCTGCCCCCAGGGGACAAAGCACTGACCTCTCGGGATGAAGGGGAGGTCAGAGCTTACAGGCTTCTGTCTTCTTGTGCTTTTAGAAGCCTCTGTCACTCTTTCCTGACTCAGCCTCAGCTGAGGGTGGCGAGGGAACTAGAGGGCTGTTTGCCTTTGGCAAAATCTGGGGTCTGTGCTTATCCGACATTAACCCCGCTCCACCTCTCCCCTCTCGGCCCCCAAGTGAGACTTGACCACCAGCCTTGCTAGCGTGGGTTCCTGGGTGGGGGCAGGAGGGGCGAAGTGGTTCACAATGCTAAAGCCACAGTGGAATTCCAAGGGCCGAGGCCTCCCGTGGCCTGAATCTTCTCTTCCACAAGATAAATGATGCACAGGCCACACACACAGGAAAAAGAAAGAAAGGCAGAACTATCTATTCTTTGCACAAAGTTTCCACTGTAAGAGGAGGAGGTAAGGGAGATGCCATCTCCACCGCCCACTCGCTCCTCAGAACCAGGGATAAACTGCATTGGTAAAAGGCACTGTCTTAGCAATTCTGTGGACATTCAACAATGGCCGGGGGTGGGTGTAGGGGACTGGTTGGGACAGGATGGCAGCCATGATGGGGAGAGGGAAGGTGGACCCCATACACAGCCAGTTAGTTGTGCCTAAAACTTTGGGGGCTGGTGGGGCCCCCCAACACCTCATCTGCCCTGGGAAACAGGAGGAGGATGGAGTAGAGCTTTCCTGGGCCTCAAGTGGTCCTCCAGGCATCCCCCGAAAGAGAGCAGAGCAAATTACACAAGACCCCCTAAGAATGAACACCCCCATCCCCACACATACACACACACATAAAGTTTGTTTCCTGTGGCATTTAAATTAATCTGGTTGGTCCATAGAAAATAAGTATGTATATTTGGTTTTTCCTATGTACATATATATATAGATTTATTTATAAAACCCGCCTCCCACCCCTAAGGTGGGAGGAGCTGGGGAAAGTAGAAGAGGTGGAAAAATGGGCCCAGAAAAAGTGGAGGAGTGGAGAGGCGTGGCTGGCAAAGAAGGGAGAGGGTCCCTTTGCTCAAGTTAAGGGGGGCACAGGAGCTCCGTTGACAGTCATCTTGCGCCCCCTGCTGGTGGAGGATGGTGTCTGCAGGCAGTTCGAGGTGCCCCCGTTGGCAGCTGTGGTGGCCCCACTGGCTGTCGAAGGGGGAGTGGGGGAGGTAGGGTGGGTGGCTGGGGGCCCGTGGGAGCTGGGAGAGCCATGGGAGGGGGTGGCTGGGCTGGGCAGGGAGGAGGAGGTGGCCGGCAGGGTGGCAGGGCTGGGAGCCTTGTCGCTGACTGACTCACACTCAGACGCCCCGCTGGTGTTGGTGCCCTCGGAGGGAGTGGGCGCTGTGGGCAAGGTGAGCCGCTTGCAGGCCGGCTGGACACGATACTTGAGGGGGAGAGGGCCGTTCTGTAGGGAGAGTGGGGGACAGAGGCAGGGAAGGGGAGGGTGTCAGGAGAGAGGCTAAGCAGACTGCCACCCACCTTTACCCCACAGCGCCCAAACACTCAGAAAAGGGAAGGTGCGATCTTGGAGAGGAGAAAGAGCTGGGAGAAAGGAGGAGCCAGGCCAGAGATACAGGGGCACACAGAGACCCAGAGAGACCAGGTAAGACCAGAGAGAAAAAGGAGAGAGGGAGGCCGAAGAGCAGACAGCAACATTTCCTCTTCTACAGCCACCAGACCCTCTTTTCTGACCCTAAATCAGGGCACATAATCTGCCCAAGGATCCTTTTCTCCTCCTGAGTGTGGGAGGTCATCAGTGAAATGGCCTGGAGGCTGACCTGGTATGGTGGGCCATCCTGGACATGTCCAGCTCATAGACAAAGGATGAACTGTCTGTGACTGGAGCAGGGCGAACCATGTGGTCACGGTGGCCACAGACCAATGTCACACCCTGCAGGGGTCCACTCCCAGCCCCGCCCCGTCGGGCACCACCCTGCCCGGCTCACCCGCCGCCAGGGGTAGATGTAGGCGATATCCATGAGGGTGTAGTATTCCTTCAGTGGCTCGTCCTCATACAGAACCTCCACCTGTAGGACGAAAGGCAGGACACCATGACCCTGGCTGGGCTCGAGGCTCCAGCCATTTGGCAAAGAGTCTCCAGGCTAGGAGTCTTGGGGGATGGGAGGTGGGGCACTGGGGAGGGGTGACTTGCAGGTGGTCCCTCCTAACTCTGGGGTTCCATGGTGTATTTGACTTCCCTATCAGAGTTGTCCCAACATAACTCCTGACTACCACGTGGGAAGGGATCCAGAGAAGATACCCACATCATTAACAACCCCCACCTCCAGCCACCCTCACAGCTATCTGGGTCTCCTTACATCTCTGACAGGTACCCCGGAGGAGCTAATGGGCAAAGAAAAGGCGTAGGTGAGAAGGATCTCGTGGGACAGTGGCTCTCACCCAGGCTGCACAGTGGAATCACCCACGGAACTTTAAAAAAATACCAATGCTTGGATCTCACCCCCCGAGATTCTGATTTAACTGGTATGATACGAGCCGAGTTTGAAAGCTCCCCATGATTCTGACATGCAGCAAAGTTGGGGATCCACTGTCCTAGAGCCTTGATACTCAAAGTGTGGTCCATGGACCAGTAACATTGGCAGCACCTGGGAACTTGCTAGAAATGCAGAATCTACTGAATCAGAATTTGATTTCAACAAGCTCTCTTAGGGGATCACAGACACATTCAAATTTGAAAGGAATGTCCTAGAACTCCACTGGAATTTCAGACTGACCTTCCTTCAGCCAGCTGGCCCTAGGTAAGACCTTGTATTTTTGCACACGTACCTCTGCCACAGTTCTGAGTGTGCAAGCATGCATGCACACACACACACACCACCTTGGTCCCACACACCTCTACATACTGACTTCGACAGATGCAGACTGCCCCACCCTAATCTTGGTTTCAATTACCCTTCTACTCCGGCTCAATTACACAACCATGCAGGCCCTTGGGGACACCTGGCCAACCCTGAACAATGTCTGGGATGCACAGATTGTCAGACACACCCCCCCACACACACACTCATTTTTTGAAGAGGCCCAGGGACTCACCTTGTACTTGCTGGGCACATCCATCTTGTTGCGGAGAAACTTGGCAAGATGCATCACAGTCATGGCTGCTGGGCATCGCAGGAAGCGCACCCCTGTCTGCTGGGGGAGAGGCACCCAAGGGCTGGGGTCCACCCCATGCACTCTCTCCCTGCCCACATCCCACCATTGGGCAGGCCCCAGCACTCACCTTCTCCTTGTCCCCATCCCCATTCTCCAGGGGACCCTTCTTCTCCTCCCGGTCCCTGGGGAGGAGAAAGAATGAAGTTAGGGAGACGCTGGAGCAGGCAGGATTCCCTAATGCACACATCCAGAAGGCCCTCCCCAAGACACCCTTCCTCTCAGGGGAACGGGGCCAGGGTGGGAGAAGGGGGTGACCCAGCTTAGGACCCCAAAAGGACCAGCTGCAGATCAGACTTGCCTGACACCTTCGTAGAACTCAATGGAGAGGCTGACAATCTCATCGTCGCTCAGAGCCCCCTTCTCCTGCTCCAGAACCTCACCACGGTCCTCATTTGAGCCATTGGGGACTACAGAAGGAAAGAGATCTAAGGGGTTGGCCTACGATTGGGGAAAGGAGCCCCACCAAGGACCCAGGCATCTCGGAGCTCGGCAAGGTGAGCCCAGCCATGTTCTGGGCTGGGGAGGCAGCATGGTGGTGCGTGGAGGATGGACAGCCTAGTGTGTCCAGCCTTCATGCCTGGGGCAGCACCCCACACTCACGTGGCCCCTGGGAGCACACACACACATGTGAACACACTCACCTTCTGTCAGGGGGTACGCTGCATAGAAATCCCGCCGTCGTTTCATCTCATCTGGAAGAGGGAAGGAAGCAGGGTGAGGAGGGAGCAACAGGCTGGGAAGTGGGGGGCAGTGGGCAGAAGGAAGGGTATATGGATACCTTTAAAAAGCCCGGGGACCAATTTGTAAACGATGTCTTGGAGGGTTTTGTCAGACCTGGAAAAAAACGCACAGGGGCCTATCAGCACCTTAGCTTGATCCCTCCAGCCCCAGAGCCCACTTCCCACCGCCTTTCCTTAGATTCAGGGCCCAGGCCTTGGGGTCCCTGTGGGCCTGGTCTTTCCCCCTCCAGTATTTCTCAGCCTACAACAAGCTGGATACAACCCAGAGGGAGGGAAGGGGCCTTGGGTCCATGCCCAGTGCTTATGCCCCATCTGCCACCTTGGTTACAGGAAGCAAGGAGGGCTAAGGAACAGAGGACAGCTGCCCCAGAGGATCGGCAGGGGCGGGAGGGACAGTGCCAGGCCCACCTGATGCTCAGCAGCGGTCGGGTTTTATGGACCTGCACATCGCACATGGGGCAGTACTTGTTGGTCTCCAGGTAGCGCACGATGCAGGTTTTGCAGACTTGGGGGTGTGGAGAGAGGGAGGAGAGTCAGAGCCCTCTCCGAACCCGAGACAGCCCCCACGCCCTCTGCTCAGGTTCAGATAGCCCCTCTTCTCCACCTCGTCCCCACATTCAGGCCTGTTCAAAGGCCCAG